CGAAGGCAGTGTCAAACTTTCTGTCTTATCCAATCTTAAAGTTTCTTTAAAGAAAACCCTTTGCGTGCATGAGATTTAACAATACATGATTCAAGTTTTTCGATGCTGGGTATGGATCGATGTTCTATAAGCTGGAATCCACGTTTGAGGCTGCAAAAAAGAAATTTCCGGTCCTGAGGTTAATAGGTGAAATTGAGATGCTGGCAAAAAGAGATTAAGATAATCAATTGTTGTTTTGGGTATGTCCCACCACAATTTTTTATTTTTATTTTTTTGATAACCTAAGCTATTTAAATTATTTAAATAACTTACACGTATCATAATTAATTTATAAATCCACTAAACACCTTACAAATTTTATAACAAAATAAAACAGCATAAAAAACATCGAATCCTAGTGCAAAGATAAGGTATAAATCTCTTTCTTTGCAAGGTCACAACCTTAAATGTCACAATTTAAAAAAAAAAAATTTCACAATTTTAAAAATATTGGTTAATTAGCATGCATGATTTTATTTAAATTACAACTATAAAAGGCATATTAATTTTAACATCCAATTAATGGACCGGTGGCTTGGCTGATCTCGCAAATCTGGTAGCTCAAAGTGGATGTATAAAGCAAGAAGGATAGTATTAATTTATATCATCAAATCATAATTTTGTTATTAAGCTATTAAATCAAGTTTGCTCTTCCAATTCAGTACTCCAGTGCTGTGCTGCATTTAGTTTTGTGATTTTCCTCGCACAAGTAGCGCAAATTAAATGAGAAGACTTGAATATTAAAAGAAAAGGTGAGGAAAGTACAGCAATATATAGACCATGGAGTGGGCATTATACAGGTAAAGTGTGCATGCATGGAAGAATTACCACCACACTGAGAAAAGAGGCTGGGGCTGGTAAATAATTGCTGTCACATCATAGAGGAGTTAAATAGAGGCAGTACATTTCAACCCACCATTCATGAAATCACAACTAAATCTTCATTTCAGTAGGGCACACTGATGAACCCACACGGCTGGCCTCTGCATAACTTCTTTACATAAGAAAAGTAGTCATGTCTTGGGTTAAAGACAGGCACTTTTTGTACGTTATGAAGCCCACTATTTCTGGTTGCCACTCCTAGCGAACTTGATTTCGATCTTATCTGCTTTTCATAGCTCTCTTTATCGTCTAGTCTAGTACATCATGCATGCGCGCGTTTTTTCATTTTTCTCTCCGGGTGGTTTTCAACCTGAGGCCGGCCGCCTGTTTTTCAAGGGTTCTTTTTTAAGAGAGGTAGGTAGGTATACTGCCACAAATCCTCATAGAACACATTCGGCTCACCTTGAAAACAAGGCTTAAAATACCTTAACTAATAGGATTATAAAATGTTGAATTGCAGTCAACAAATTAAGGATTAAAGTAGCACAACTCGATCGAACTAATCGAGCTTCTTATATATAATGAGATGGATATTGTGGTGGTTTATCGATTAATTAATTAACCAATCTTTAATTTCTTGTTGTATCTTTCGAGCTAACGAGTCTCCTCAGCCATTAAACAAGTTTTTTCTCGTCTTATTGATGCTGGATATAATTAATTTCTTCTTTCAATCTGATCTCGTTAGATTGTGATAATTAAAATAAAGTGCATATCCAGTTTTCATCACAGCTAACAGCTAATAAATACCAGCAACTGTACGAGCTGACAAGATAAATTTGATGAAATGTAGTTGATACATGCATACATTCATAAATTAAGAATCCAATATAATTAGCCGCTAGCCAGCTTGAAGGTCGCAGACAATTAACAGACGTCGTGCCAACTTGCCAAGCAAAAAAAGGCAAGAGCAGTACATACATAATTTTTATAATAGTGATATTCTAGGCTAGGTTTTCGCATATGCATGTCCCTTGAACATGGTGTCCCCTGCAATTGAAGGAAACACAAGAGGAATCCAACTATATATTACACACACACACACACTCCAGTGCTGGGTTTGTTAGGGTTTCTTTGTCTTATAGCTAGCACAAAACAAAATACACATATGGGGTATATGGACTCGCAATTAGCAACAGGTAGAAGGGGGGGGGGATTTCTTTCAATAATTAAATGTTAATACATTAAAGTAGTATCAGAAAGCCTTAATCAATGGTCTGAGAGGATTATTATAATGAAACTGAGATGGAGGGGAAATATACACCAAGACCGATATGGACAGCTTATAACAGGTATCATACTGGCTTCAATTAAATAAATTGGCATAAACAAGTATATAATTTAGTAAATCAATGATTGTAATTCTTTTTCAACAATTGCATGCACAATGCCTGGCCTTTTGGTTACGATGCCAGATGAATCTGCAGGTAAGAGTGTGTCATTGATCTAGTTTGCTATCGGTTTATGTGGCTACTGAATTGAATCAAATTTTAAAAATTATGATATATTTTTTTTCTCTAATATTTTAATGCTAGCTAAATAAAAATACATGAACAATCTCAGAGGTTTTTCCTCTTCTTCTATGAAACACATTTCTAATTAAATTATATCAGGATTTTTTTTTTAATAATCCACGTACACAAGGACGTGATTCTTTAACAATTTCCATTAATAAGGATAAGGAATTGCCTCAAATTAATGAATCCAAGATAGGGTTCAATTCAAATGATATTAAATAATTAAGTCCCAGATGAATTAGCATGAATGCTCGTGATCACCTGCCCGGTCTACCATTTCAATAATTTAGGTAACCAAACGTAACAATTTGCTGAAATCCTTTCCCTATGACTGTGATTTTTATAAATAATTTTTATATTAAGTGAAAGTTTAATATTGTATTGCTAGATATATTTTAAGAGTATATTTACTTTTTAAAAAAATATCAAATTAATATTTTTTAATAATTTCTGATAATTTTGATTTGTTGTGTTAAAAATAAAATAAATTTATTTAAATATATTTTTAAATAAAATAAATTTTTAAAAATATTCACATTATAATATTAAACACAAAACACGTTCTAATTTTTTTTATAAAATAAATTATAAGGTACTTAAGTTTTGAGCAAGTGGTATCAGTTTACTGTAGTGGTCATGTTAGATGCAGCTAAGTCTATATGAACCTAGCTGGCTAGTTCACCATGGCTAATTAACCTGCTATTATCTCAAGCAACAAACACCTCGGTCTATATACATAAAATTTAACTAGAAATGAAGGGTATTTCAGAAAAAAAAAACAATTAAATTATCATTGAAAGCTAATGAGGTAGGCAGAATTACAAAGAAATATAAAATAAAAATAATTCAGTGTTAATTTTTTTAAAAAAATTAAAGGGATTGCCTAATTATTCTACTAAAAATATAGAGATTAAATAACATTTCACATATAACTTATTTTCCACCTTTCTATATATGTATCAGCCGGGGAAGATTAATTATATTATATACTAGCATTATAAATCCAATCAAATGGATAAAATTAACACAATGGTTACTTAAATCTCAACGATTTAGAATTGATAAATACAAAATTTATATATATTCTCAAGAATGAATTGAGATAAAAATATAAAAGATATTGGCCTTGTGATTAGAAACTCGGTCATGATATTAACGGCGTATATTCTTTATGCATGTGTACATTCTAAGAGTTCATGCAGCCAACACAAGCAAACTCACATTAAGCACGACCTTACAAGGTTTTGAAGTAATCCTTAAACTGCAAGCAAGTAACTATGAAGCTGCGTTAAATCCATGTCTTCTTGTCGGATATTATGACATCTTGCTTGACATCAGAGAGAAGTGAATCCACAAGGGCAATAATTTTTCTGCATCAAATAGTCAGTCAGTTGATTGGGTTTAACACATCAAATCAAGCTTTTAAATGGATAGATTTTAACGGCTCACATGCAGAGTTGTGAGAGAAGATGAGATCATAGGTTTCTCTTCATGGCTACAGGCTGATGATATGTGAGCTAATTAAAAAGGCAAATTTACACCAGCCAAACGGGATCAAGCTGGATGGAGCAAGCTAGCTTGCAAGATTTTCTTTCTGCTGGTGATCTAGAATGGAGCCTTAATTTCTACTTGAAGCTGCATCAACTATTTACAGCTCATCGATGAACTACTTTCTTGTCAGCAATAATAAATTAATGAACTACTGTTTACCCCTTTGAAGAGGTTGATCGTCGTTAATGCTGCAGCTAGCCAACCTGGCTAGTTTGTCTTGGTTAATGTTTTGATTCAGGAGGGATAAAGATAGATGAAACATGTAAGATATTTCCAATTTTTTTTTAAATGTTTTTGCCATCTTCCTAGTAGACTAATAAAACACAATAAATGATAATGTTCTTTAATTGTTTCAACCATAAAAATATATTTAATAATACAACTCTCACATTGACTTTATATATTTAAGGAAAATAATTATTATGGACATTAATCTTAAATTTCAAATATCAAAAGCTGAAAAATAGCGTTTCCTTTCTCTTCAGACTGAAGAAGGGCAATTCTTGAGGTTTTTTTTTAATTATTTAATTAAGAAGGGCAGGCCAAGCAAAGCATGGCAAGGCAGCTAGTGACAGATAGTGCTGTTCCAAAACATTATAAAATCACATTTATGGCCCTTTTCTGCATCTTCACCATCATAATGACAAGTCAGCCACTACTTTTTTTTTTTTTATCTTAATTGAGATGTTTGACCATCTAATTACATTGATTAAATACAGTATCATCAAGTCTTAACATCCAAATAACATCCTCTAAAATTACAACCAAAACCTTTATAGTTGACCACAATAAAATCATCTTTGAGTCATTTTGATTACATTGAAACATCATCATCTATATTTTCGATGTATTCTTAAATCAGTTTATGTATTAATTAAAACTAAGTTTCTTTGGCCAATAATCCTAGAAACATGTTTCTGCATTAATATGATTTATTGAAATTTTTTTAATAATTTTTTAAAATATTAATCTTAAAATTTAAATTAAAAAAAAAACACATCTTACTTACCAAGTCAATCATGCTCTCTGTCCCAGGATTGAGAAATAGCAGGGAGGAAGAAGCTTACAAATTTACATGACTTCTCTTTTACTGTACTGCTTGACAAATTTTTACATGACTTCTCTTTTACTGTACTGCTTGACGGCTGTATTTTGTTTGTGTAAGGTCTCATGTTGTAGTAATGTTAACTCTTCCAAACTAAAACTCATCACCTACCACTGATAACTCCTTCCCTTCTTCCTCTTCTCTTTTCTCTCTCCCCCCTTCTCTTAAAAAGATCTCAAATTTCCATGTCCATCATCCCCTACTCTTTACCACAAGCAACAATAAAGCCCCTTTCTTCTTCTTGTCATTTGTGGCTTTGGGGCACACAGAAAGCTCCACCCCAGCTTAGATTCACGCTCACATTTTCATTTCTTGAAAGGAAATCTACGCTTTTTTGCTATTTAACTTTACCCTTTCACAATTGGATTCATTTGGGTGTCTTCCAAGTGTGTTGCTTTTGACATTGGTTTTTGGGTTTTGTTTAGTCTTTTGAGATCTGGGGTATTGAGGAGTTGGTATGGCGAGGGCGTTTCAAAGATCTATGCTTTAAAGGTTTCTTTTGTGACGTTCATTATAGAGAGGTAGAAAGATTCAAGCCTTTTCTTTGCTTTTCACTTCTTTTCCTTTTCTGCCTCTTAATTCATGCTCGTTTTGTCAGCAAATGAAAATTTTTTTTTGGGAGAGTCCTGTTCTGCTGTGTTATCTAATCTGTTCATTTGCTCATTGAAATGCCTGTTTTAATGTCATTGTTTTATCTGTATGGTTTGTGTAGTTGTAGTCCTGAATTGGTTAGCCTTTTCTTTTATTTTAGGGAAAGGATTTTGTAATGTGTAGAGAAGCAGTTACGCGATTCTTCCTGTGAGATTCTGCATTGATGGGATTGTTTCTAATGTATATATATGTGTTTCATGTTAATTATGCAGGGTTTGGGCATCTGAAAACCAAGATGGCCAATGATCTAAACGCTGAACTATCCAAGAAAACTGCCGTTTTGGGTCTCAAGGTCTGGGAAGTGATTGGAATTTGTGTTGCATTATTTATCATAATCATCCTCTCTGTACTGTCCTTCTGTTTAACTTCACGGAAGAAATCTAAAAGAGATAGAAACCGTCTTCCCCTTAGCCAAATCCCAACTATTTCCAAGGAAATTAAGGAAGTTCGAGTGGAACAGGTATCGACAAATGAATTTGTACCTCGTGATGGGATTCTTCTCACAATTCATGACAAGTCCAGGGACAAAGAATCGGATAAGGTCTTGGTTCATCTAGGCATGGGGAAAGGGAAGAATGAAGGCAATATGAGTCAGTCAGATTCTTTTGATCATTTAGAGAAAGATTGTGGATCACAGTCAGGTGAAGAAGGGAGTTCCGGAACAGTAACTGTATATAAACCTTCTTCTTCATACCCTATTACCGCTCCTTCTCCGTTGATTGGCCTGCCTGAGTTCTCTCACTTGGGTTGGGGTCACTGGTTCACCTTGAGGGATCTTGAGCTTGCAACAAATCGGTTTTCTAAGGAGAATGTCCTTGGTGAGGGTGGATATGGAGTGGTTTATCAGGGACATTTGATCAATGGCACTCCAGTGGCAGTAAAAAAGATCTTGAACAACTTGTGAGTTTGAAATTAGCTTTTTGAGTCTTGTAAAATTTCTTACAATTGATCTTTTCGTATCACTTTAAGTTTTCTTCACTCACAACCTCTTAACTCTTCTTTAGGGGCCAAGCGGAAAAGGAGTTTAGGGTGGAAGTTGAAGCCATTGGTCATGTTCGACACAAGAATTTGGTTCGTCTTCTGGGATATTGCATAGAAGGGACACACAGGTACACACTTTTTTACCACATATGATGCTATATAGTTTAGAGTTGAGTTCATTTGCTCACACGATTCACTTTGGGCTTTATGCCTTAGGCATCAACTCATTATCAGTATAAAGGTTCTGTTTTGTGGCTTAAGAATCTGATTGCTAGCTTACCTGCCTGTTATGCAGAACTGCTTAAGTTCTTATCATTATGAGCTGATACATCAAAACATTGCAGGATGTTGGTCTATGAGTATGTCAACAACGGGAACTTGGAACAGTGGCTTCATGGAGCTATGCGTCAGCATGGATATCTTACTTGGGAGGCGCGCATGAAGGTTCTACTTGGCACGGCTAAGGCGTAAGTCAATTCTGTTTAGTCCTTCGTTGGCCTTCAGGTTCCCAAATGACTTGGTATGTTTCTTGCAGTCTTGCCTATTTGCATGAGGCCATTGAGCCAAAAGTGGTGCATCGAGACATCAAGTCGAGTAATATATTAATTGATGATGACTTCAACGCCAAGGTTTCTGATTTTGGCTTGGCCAAGTTGCTTGGTGCTGGCAAAAGCCATGTAACGACTCGAGTTATGGGAACCTTCGGGCAAGTACTTTCTGCAAGTGTATTCTTACTGGTTCTGTCATTGTTACTCTTGTTCTTTGATGGAAGAGGATCATCACTTTTAAAATCAACCCCATTCTTCTTGCCTTGACAAAATAAAATCTTACAGATATGTGGCTCCTGAATATGCAAATAGTGGACTCTTGAATGAAAAGAGTGATGTTTATAGCTTTGGGGTTGTGCTGTTAGAATCGATCACCGGAAGAGATCCTGTAGACTATGGCCGCCCTACTCATGAGGTATGGCTATTTTACTTTTGCATTCTCTACCAATTTTTTTATCTGTCTTGAATCCCTGGCTATATCATCAATAAACCAATGCAGTTCAAATTTACTATAATGGTTACTAAATGCCATTCAATTTTAGGGCTCTAGTCTAGCCTAAATTAACTTCACATTTATCAATTGCTTTTGTATTTTCATGAGTTATGGTTGGTGAGTTAAGTGACAGAGAATTGACTGTTTAGATAAATGGTCTAATAACTGGTTCTGTGTTCAATAGCTAGGCTAAGTGACAGAGACTGAGGCCTAGGAATAAGTGCTTCCACTCCTGTCTTCTACACTGCTATTTTACTCCAAAGAGTGTTTAGCCTAACACAACCAAGCCAAACTCACATTGCTGATTACCCTGTGAATTAACCAAAATCGTTTGACATGCATTATAAGGGCTAACCGTGTGGTTCTTGAATTACTGCATTCTCTACAATACAATCATTCGACAAACTTGACATCCCATCTAGAGAATTGGATGAATTGAAATGAAGCTCATTTGTTTATTTATGTGTTGTAGTAAAACATTATAAGAAATGAGTTAAACTATAAGCCAGTGAACATTGAGTACTAGTTATCTATTTCTGTTGCTTTTGTATCAACTATACTTTAACCCTAAAGAAAAGTTAAAGAGAAAACATGATAAGATTTTTTAACCAGATCTTTACTCATGCTAGTCAGGATGATTAGATGCCATTTTTATTTCCATATAGGTTAGCGAAGACCAGTGGGAGAGATAGGGAATCATTGGTTTTTGTTATTATTATATTATTGATCAGGGGTAACAATATAATAAATAATAAATAATAAATGAACGTGTCTAGTATCCTATGAATGAAAAACGTGAACTATTTAAATTTTCTAGATACTGACAGCCTAGTACATCATCTGGTTTCCAAATTAGCTTTCTAGGCTTATTCAGTTTCAAGCCTGATCATGCCTAGTTGAGTTTATTATAGACTCTCTTAGAATTGTTGTCATGCATTGATTCCTCCCTTGTAATTATATTGAGGTCATATGTTCAGTTGCTGGAAGTTTATACTCGTTTAACAGCTTGTAAAGCTGTGTTGATCATTAAATCATCTTACTGGCAGGTAAATCTTGTGGATTGGTTGAAAATGATGGTCGGAAACAGACGGTCTGAAGAAGTAGTAGACCCAAATATTGAAGCGAGGCCATCAACAAGAGCTCTAAAACGTGCCCTGTTGACCGCTTTGAGGTGTGTTGATCCAGATTCTGAAAAAAGACCTAAGATGGGTCAAGTAGTTCGTATGCTCGAGTCTGAGGAATATCCCATTCCAAGAGAGGTTGGTTTCTGACTTAACTTGTACAGTCCAAAATGCATCTGATCACTTGTAACCACAGTCATTTTTGTATGAACATGTGTTATCTCTTGCATCCTTTGTGCACAAAATGGTGCACCATGGCAGCCAAAATATCATGAATGATGGTGCTACCTCCATCCTCACAATCCTTGGCTGTTTTTGTGCTTGAACTTGGATGATTGCTTGATTGCGTTCTTTGATTTTTGCTATATTGCACAAAATGTGGGCCATGGGAGCCAAAATATCAACACCAATCCTCTATATTCTCGAGTTTTGGCTGTTTTTGTGCTTGTTCAGTATTTTACTAGAGAAGGAATTACCAGCAACTCACTTTTAGTTTTAAATTCGATGTTATGAAATTTAACACCGAAGAAACATGGCTTTTGGCTGAATTTGGAGTTCAACTTGTAACTGTTTTCAGGATCGTAGGCATCGAAGAACTCGAGGAGGCAGCATGGAAATTGAATCTCAAAGGGAAAATTCTGACACTGATCGCAGCGACCATCCAGGTTCAAGATCTGAAAGCCGGCGAATTTGACAAAACATGAGACTCATTTAGGGGATACAAGGGACTTATAAATTGAGATGGTTATTCTTACAATTTTTTCGGGGTGCCTCAGACATTAAAATGTTGATATCTAGGACACTGAACAGGGGGGACAAGGGATTTTCTTCTTCTTTTCTCTTTATTTTTTTTTCTCATTTTGTCGTATAGGGAGAGATAATTTGTCTATGTATTGTTATGGACTTGGTATTGTGAAGAACCCATGCGGCCGAGTTTGTGTACAGAATTGGGCTAGCAATTCAAAAACTGTTTGATGAAATCCTCCCTCGTCTACTGCCTCTCTCTATTTCTCCCTTTACTTCCTGATCCATATTCTACACCATGGAACCTGACTATGAACCAAACTACTGTGTTTGATTCATTGACCAAGACAGTAAAAAAAACAAGCACCTCCTGATTTTCGAACTTGTGTTGCTTGCTTTTGCAAATTCTGCTTTTATGCAAAGTAAATAATTCGAGACAAATCAAATACGGAGAGACAGACAGGAAAGGCTTCGTAATCTCAAGACTGGAAACAAAAGAATGCTGGAACTTTATTCTATTGACCCCACATAACAGTCCTTCGGAAGTCGTCATGTATTTTGTTGCCTGAACACCATCAACTATTCCTCTTCCAAGTTCTTACCTCTTAACCAATAATGTGAATGAACTATTCTAGGAGTGCTAGTTCTCCACTGAGCTGAATGTGGCTCTCATTTAGTTAATCAAACCCTAACCTTGAAGGAACTGTCCCAATGAGCTAAAGAGAGAAGCTAGGTTAATTAGTTGGCAAGCCAATACATTAACAAGCCATCCACACAGCATCTCAATACCATCACTTGATTTTGACAAATCTCAAACATCTTCCGATACCTCAAAAATCAGACTGATTGTTTCCAGTTAAACACTTGCACAAGGCCGCTGCTACTATAAAACTAAAGACAAGTCCGGTACTAGTGGAAATAACACCAAAACATATAAAGTAGGAGCAAGCAAACATCATCCATCCCCTAGGAATTCAAGAACGTGCAATCATTCAGAACACGAGCAAAGATTCAGCAGCCTCATGGTATACAGGGCCAAATAGAAATGTAACCACCATATTGCTGCTGTTCAGTAAACCACCTCATTGTGTTCTCAGCTTAAAGCAAGATTCGATTCCTACTACTGCATTTGGGGAAAGAAACAGGAAAAATAAGTAAACATTAATAGGAGTAGCACACAAGCAAAAGATGACTTCAAGATGAAAGGTAAATCAAGGTTACCTGAAAGAACAACGCAACCCCAAGAGAACCCACCAACACGACTCCCCTAGCATCAGAATTCAGACCACTGACATCATACACATACAGTCTTCCAAGCCCTGAAGTCAGGTCAATCGAAGCTGTCAAATCACTGCCAATACCCTCAAGGCGATAGAGCAGGAAGCTGTTTATGCATTCCTTCTTGTACCTGTTGCTTTCCCTCCGTCGTGTTTTGATGTGGTCAAACTGAGGCTTTAGTTCTTGCACCCTCTTCAATGCCGCTGCAAGGGGGACCCAGAGTTCTAGCAATTGAAGAATATTTCGTGCGTTTTTAATTTTTCTAGTAGTGATCGTCATCATCGGGATTAATGAATAAATATCATCATAAACAAAATATACTTGTGATGTGAGCGGGTCAGCTGTATATTTTCCACCACTAGATTATTTTTATTAAGAAAATATTATAATTCAATATTTTATTTGACTTAACTAAAATTAAACTCTGAATTTCTTGAATCAACTCGTCAGGATTAATAACTATATTTTTAATATAATAAAGAGGTGATAGTTTCATTTTTACCAAGAGATTGTGAAGTTGAATTATGAAAAATCCTGCTAGCTTCATTCATAAGACATAAGTAGAATAGAAGTGGACATGTGTTATTTTTTTCAAAAGCAAAGATTGCATTGTCATAATATTGTCTCCTTTTACAATTATTCTGCATACCAGGATTTACGTAAAACCAAGATGATCCACGTTCAGTCCATTATTTATCGGGGTGGAAAGGCTTCAATAATGTTTGCTGAGATCGAAATCCTACCTCTTCTACTGCCATCGACCTGACACAGTTAAAGAAGAATTGCCCCTCCTGATTTTAATTAGAACTTGCGTTGCCTGCGTATGCTTGCGAGTCTTGCTTTCATGCAAAGTAACTGGAGACAAATGAAGTTCAGGAAGACTGCCATGAAAGGCTTTTTTTTTAATTATTGTTATTATTATTATTATGATAATCGATTGTATTATATATTAGCAATAAGCGGCAGCCATTAGTTAGAGAATGGCCAAATCAAAACTTGCTTGACTGATTAATTATATAGCTTGACTGCTGGGGTTTGCTTTTGGCCTAAAAATTTCAACATATATACTCTCGCCTCCTGATAGAAACTCCCAATGGACCACCTTAGTTTGATAAGCTTTCTCCTCGTCATCGTTTTCCTTAATCAGGTCTTTAGCCAGCAAAGTTATGTAGTAAGCATCACGACATGCTCTCGTGATATTTGCATGATGAACTCGAACAAACTCCATCTTTTTTCCCTGCAACAACAAATATCAAGAATCAATACACGGCACAAATCCGACTCTATTGTCGATTACTACTGCCCAAATCGCTGCCCTTGGACCTTTCTCTTGTATTTTTTGTTGTAATATTCGACAGCAAATCTGGCCATTCTGTTGACAACTCCGAGTTGAGAAGGTTCATTAATATCATTGGGGGATGCCCAACAGTAGCCAGGTGGAGGAGGACGAACAAGATCAAAACCCTAAAAAAGAAAAATAAAATCGATCAGTTATGAGAAACTTAATCACAAGAACAAGAACAACAAGAATTTGTTTGTTAAAAAAGTTTCGTTATTACATCGGATGCGCAATATATCTCAGAATAGTGCACCAAAAGATCCCTTTCTTCCTTTTCATGGTATTTCAAACGCCGAGTATATTCATCAGGTTCGCCTCCAACTACATGATAGACGTCCCAGCCATCGTCCAACTCAACCACCCAGTATTTCCCTTCAGTTTTCTCCTCCTCCTCAACATCATCACCATTGTTTTTAATCTTATATTTTCTTTTACTTTGGTTTGTTTTTGGCCTAAAAATTTCCACATCTATATCTCCTGATCCAATATCATCATGGATGACCTTAGCTTGATAAGTTATCTCGTCACCATCATCCATAATAAGGTCTTTAGCCAATAAAGTTATGTAGTACACACCGTGAAGGGATCTGCAGAAATTTGCATGATGAACTAGAACAAACTCGATCATTTTTCCCTGCAACAAGAAAAATTAAGAATCAATAACGCAAAATGCAATTCAATTATCAAGAACTAATAATCCCCTAATTGCTGCCCTTACCTTTTCCTTATATTTTGTGTTGTAATATTCAACAGAAAATTTGGCCATTCTGTTGACTGCTTCAAGTTGAGAAGAGTCATTAAGATCCATGGGGTATGCCCAACAGTAGCCAGGTGGAGGAGGACAATCAATATCAAAACCCTAAAAAAATATATTAAAAATCAGTTATTAGAAACTTCCAGCCACAAGAACAAGATAAGCAAGAAGAAGAACAATTTGTTTGTTAAAAACACTCTCTTAATTACTTTCGATGCAGAAGCAAACTTATTATAGTATAACAAAAGATCCCTTCTACCCTTTTGTTCGTATCGTAAACACCGAGTATATTCTTCAGGGTCCTCTACTACACGGTCAGAGTCCCAGCCATCTTCCAACTCAACCACCCACCCTTTTTTTTTAATCTCCTCCTCCTCCTCCTCATCATCATCATCATTATCCTCCTCCTCCTCAACCTCATCTTCCTCCTCAACCTCGTCTTTCTTCTCTTCTTCCACGTCCATGACTATAGCTGGAGGAGAGACAGATACCTGTATAATTAACTTTTTGATTTTCTCCTTCTTCTCTACCACCATGGCCATGACTTGGTCGGGATCCTTGACAGTGGACACATCAAGTACAGAGTAATACTCTTGTTTTTTAGTTTCGTTCTTCTCTTCGCCATCCAAAGCCACAGCAACGTGTTGATGTAAGTGGTCATGATCACCGAAATAAACCTTCACCTCCAATACAGGAGAGACCCTTTTTTCTTGATCGATTTCCTCCTGAACCCCTTTCCTCTCTTCCTCCATGAGTTGTTGAATGTTTTTTAGATAAAAAAGTATCTTTTTAGCGACTTGTTTGAAATCAGTGATAGCAGGCGACTCAATCACACTATAACCCATCATTTCTTTTCCCTCAACCTTGTGATGCAAGGCAGGATTTTCATTTCCATAATCACTAGAAGCCATGTTAGGGGTTGGTTGGTGCTTGCCTGTTTTGAAAGATACTTGGAGATAGAACAAGGAAGAGGAGCTCAAGATTTGTTCCTAATTGAGGATTTATTAAATACACAGGGGGTGGGAGAGAATCCCACTTGGGCTTAATCCTGCTTTTAATGTTGTTAATGCGGTCATTATTATTGTTATTGTTATTATTATTATCTATAGTAATTACTTTTGATGCATGTCATTTATTAAATCATATTAAAATTCAAATATTTCAAATATTCTAATGATTAATTATAAGGTTTTATTTTCTTTAATTAACTTGTACATATATAAAAGAATAAAACATTTGCTATATCAAAAAGAATCTCTTGGAGATGAAGTGAGAGAAAAGAAATATAAGACAAGCATAGCATAGAAGATTGAAAAGAAGAAAATACGTGCGTGTGTGACAATAATGTAATAAGAAAAAGAAGCCCAAAGTTATTTTTTAAAAATATTTGAAGTCAAGTAAAGAAAGATTAATAAATAAAATAAAATAGTTAAGTGTGATGTGTTAATATTCTCATTAATTCATTAATCAAATGTAAAATAAAATTTTCAAAATCCTAAATCTTCAACAAAACAAAAAATTATAGCTAAATAACAAAATTAGACACATCAAAATATAAATCTTACCTTTTAAATTTATTTTCTCTAATTCTCTATTTTTTGTTTTATTTTTGCCTCTTTCTCTTCTTCTTCTTCTTATGGTTCTTCTCTTCTAGACTAAGTTTTCTTTTATTTTTCTTTATTTTTTAGCTAAATAAAATAATTATATAAATCTTACTTTTTAAACATATTTTAATTTGTAACTCTTTTCTCTTGCTTCGTCACTCCCTCTCTCTCTTCTTCTTTTTATGATTCACTCTCTTTCTTTAAGTGTAATTCTTCTTTTTCTTTCTTTTATATTTACGTACTAATTCTTTGCTTAATTACTAAAATTTCCTTCACCTATATATTACTAAAACTTACTCTTCTAAAGGTATTTTTATCATTTCCTATCTAAATTTTCAAAACATCACAAGACGAGTGCGATATTATATCGATCATCAACACAATTTTTCCAATGCAATTAATCAATTAAGTTATCTTAATATATTCAATTAAGTTATCTTCATATATATATATATATATATATTAGAGATTCTTTAACAGGTCCTTGCACTCTCTAACTTTAAAAATCAAACAATCAAAATTTTATATATTTAAATATTCTTTAACAGGTCCTCTCACTCCTTATGAAAAAATATATTCTTTTAATTTGCAATATTGAAAAAGTTAGTTTTCTTTAAGACGGTGCCTCGAAGAGTTTGTCATGATGATCATGGATGCTAGGAGAATTATTGGGCAAGTTGTGCTGCCTATATATAATTTATTATTAAATAAGATCTCAAAATATAATTTATATTATTTTTTAATAATAACTAACTATGCCCTTCTCCACCATGATGCTTTCAATCTTTTAGTAGTTTCTTACATTAAGGCAAATATGGCGTCAGACAAGCATTTAGATGGATAAAAATAAGACATCCTGAGAACATGACTCCACGAATATAACTTGAACAATTTTCTAGAGAACATAACTCCATGGATTGAATTTGGCAATTTGGTTACACAAAAATAGTTATATATATGAATATGAGATTTGGAAGCTATTCCAAATTTGGAACAACTAATTTTGCCGCCAAACCAACAAGACTGCCATGCAAAGCAGCAATGCATAAAGTAATTAATTGACCTTTAGAAACTCCTTTAGAAAATGATAAAGATGAAAAGTAGATTCTATTACATATTGATTATATATAAATGGGATTACAAGGCTTCAAATGCCTAGTTTCATTGCTTGATTTCCAAGGAAAGGGATGATCAAAAGAATGCACATGTTTGTTCATGCTAGGACGTCTTTCCCTTTCTGATAACTTCTTATATATAAAATGCCAGAAATACTGTGTTTCATGTTCAAAAATTGAAAAAAAAATATCATCCATAATCATATACAACAATCTGCCATTTCCACTCATTTCTGCAACTAAGCAATACTGTTAAGCTTGAAAGGTTCCCAAGCTCTTTTTCTTTTTTTTTTTTTGGTTTATTTTTTTGTTTTCCTGGGGTCTCCAAATTCTGAAAGGTCCCGAGCTCAATTTTTTGTTTTTCTTTCTCTTTCTCTGCGGATGTTGAACCTACGTGGAAGTACACGTCCAATTATATTAAATGATTTTGAGCCTTTTAATGTGGAATATGAATGGGAATGCTATGGTGACATTGTTCGCAAGTGGCGTACTAGACTCACCTTCGATAGTATTCGAGTAAGGGGTTTGAAGAAGCCAGTTCTTCCTCCTAAGGATAAGTCCCTGCTTATTGACATTGTCTTGAGCACAAGCAAATACTCAATTACTCTAAAGATCAGAACGTTTGATCTATACCTTATTGGTTATGAAAATCAACAAGGCCACCGGTTTGAGTTTAAACCAAAGGTGGACAAGCACAGCAAGACAAGCGAGAGGTTGATACCTGGTTCCACTTTTTTGCCGTATGGTTGTTCTTATGGTGATTTGGAGGGCAATGCACGTACCCTCAGGCTTGGTTTTCCACTAGGGAGACAGCAATTAATGGTAGCAATACACAATTTGGCCCAAGAACCGAAGAAAGTCCATTCATCAAAAGAAGGGAAGAAAGTTAAAGTAGACCAGGCATATGAGGAGAAACGAGCACACGGTCTATTAACCATTGTGCTCATGGTTCCAGAGGCAATCAGGTTTGAATCCATGCTAAAATATGCATCATCAAACTTGACATGGAGCATCAATACATCATTGCCTTGTATACCATACCTGACAAATGAGTGGCAAACACTTTGTAAACACATCACCATTGCTTCAAATAGAGACTTTTATGAATTTAAGGAAATCATATTACAAGAAACACCAAAGCGCCGAGTTATTAAGACAATTGAGGATGTATGCGAGGAAATTGCAATAGTAAAGAAATAGGATTGGAAGCAACCAAAGCGACTTTGAATCTCAAGACCGACGAAGGGCTAGAAAGCTTGGAATCTACTTTGCATTCAGGTGTTTTTTCTGCCTTGTTTACTTCTTTTATGCTTTCATTCATATCTTAGCACGCATGAAGGCTAACAATGGACTGTATGTTTGTAAAAGAATTTTCATTTTCTGCATGCAGTTTCGATATCTTTGCATGCATGAAGGCTAATAGTGACCTGTTTTTCGTATTGATACTCCATATCTTAGCCTGAATTAAGGCTACACATTAGGCAGGCCGCCAAGAGCATCATTGCCAGTGGGCTAGCTCCCGGGTGTATCGTTCAGGTCTCTTATGCTATTGGTGTCCTGATCAAACCACTGTCAATTTTTGCATGTAGACGCACATGGTGCTTGAAGGATCCCGGACAAGGAAATTCTCAAGATTGTGAAAGAAAACTTCCACATTTCAGGCCTGGAATGATTGCCATTAACTTTGGATCTTAAGAGAGGTAGAAATGGCATGGTCTTGAAGGGAGCTGCTTAGGGTCACTTCGGAAGGAATTGAGGTATTGAACCCCAAGATTAAAATAATGCCATCTTGGCAAGTGATCAATAATTTGCTTTTCCTTGGCTGCAAAGCCAAGAGTATCTTAATTATGTTCTTAATGTTCTCTCCTTTTTTACACATTTGTAGTCTTGATTATTAGTTAAACAGGATTAGATTTATAATGTAAATAATGTTGTTTTAGGAGAGAATTTTATATTGCTTTATGTAAATAAACCCCAGTCGTCGAGGTATATAATTCTTTGTTTATAGTACGTAGTTCCAAGCAGATAATTATATTCATTTTGTGTTCCCTTGCTGGCTGCTGACCAAGACACTAGGAACTAATCCCCAAATTGCTGCACTTGGACCTTTTCCTTATATTTTGTGTCGTAATATTCTGTTGGGAATTTCCGACCGGTAATGTACTGATATTTGCTCATAGAAGGAGAAGCACACTGAGAAACGGTATTTTACGTTGTTCGGCAAACCGCCTATATCCACGGGAGAAGCCATTGCATTATGTAGGGAGAGTACAAGATTTACAACAGTAGAGGAGGAGGAATCATCCCCTCTTTGGCAACTCTCAACCTCACTCTATTTCTCTCTTTTTAGTGCTGCAATGGCAGCCCACTCTCTCCTACATTTCTCACATCTTTGGCTCTACTTCCTCTCTCATTTTGCTCTCTCACATATGCCTCTATTTATAGGCATTCATGGAGGCTCTTCTTGCTTTGTTGTCAATATTGGTGGCCACCAACTCTAGCTCATTCAACAATGGTGGCTACCAATAGTCAATGGTCAATGGTTGATGCCTTACATGAAATGGAAACCAACCTAACAATCACCCCCTTTGCCATTCATGTGGGGCAACTGTCCTCTTGCTTCTTCAACACAAGCTTGCATCTTGCAGCTCTTCCAAACTTTCCATTCTGAGAGCATCTTTGGCCAAGTTTATAGGTACTCGCCAAACCTTTCAATCATCAGAGTAACCAAAGCACACCTTTTCTCACACAAAAGGATCACTATAACCAGATGGTCTGTCACATCACATCTGAATAGTGTTAACGCTTGTCTCTAGAACAACATTCCCCTTCGAGCGTATCAACCATGCTCGGTCCGGAATGATTCATCAAGCCTCACATTAAGGCTTATAACACCCCCTCAAACGAATATTTCAAGTGCGACAATCATTATCTGAGTATCTTAATATAATCACAAGCTCACCATTCTTCTAAGAGTCTACTCATCCAGGAGTTGCGTCTGCCCTCTGTTCCACCCTAGGAACCACGCCTTACTTCTCCGTGAGTCTCTTGCTCTTAGTCTCAAGAGTCCAGGTAGCTTTCCACCTTTAACCATGAGGGCAGCCCATTAAAGGTTGATCCATATATGTCTTGATACTCTGAGTATTACAATGCCTTCATCGAGCTCACCACCTTGACAAGAGTCAACTTGTT